CTAACAAACTCGAATCGAAAATCAAAGACACCCTAAAGTTGCTTCACTTAGAGAAGAAGGATACAGGTGGAGTGGCACTTGCGAAGAGACGAAAGAGGTTAGAAGCCCGAGAAGAAAGGTTGGAAAGAGCCGCAGGATTTCCGGAGGGGATGAGAAAGAAGGGTGGAAAGAGCCCGCAGGATTTCCGAAGCAAACCCGCAGGTTATAGCTTCTCCAAAATTAACATTTCATTCACTTTTTTTAAACATTGCAAATCCTCCCATATTTATAGGTATGAAAGAGGAATACCAAGAGACACCTAATAAATTCCCATAAGAATTCTAAATATCACATAGCATTAAAATACCTAAAAAACATCCCAAGCCAAGGAACCGAAGAGGCATCCACGGGAACCAAGGAGACCGCCCGGAACCAAGGGGCCCGGTCACGGGAAAGAGCCCAGGCACATGAAAACTAGCAGCCGGCCGGAATTCAAGAGGGCAAATGCACAAAATACTAAAGGCCATGGAGGAAGCCAAGGAGCCACCTCATGGGAAAAGTAAATCTTGGAATTTCAAAGGCCGGTTTGGAATTTCAAGAGACATCATAACTTAAAACATAAAAATACATTTAATAAAAAGATAACTATGAGCTAAAATCATAGCTAATAATGAGCTAACCCTTAGTTCAATAAGTGAACTAAAGACCAGCACATAAATGAGCTAAAATTTCAGCTCAATTTTGATTGAGCTAGTAGACTCAAGGAAAGCCAAAAATCTAATTATTTTTTACATGAGTTGACCCCCCCTTTGTCTACATCAGACTCCCCTTCTTGCGAACTCAGTTCTTGATGAGTTGGTTGTTGATTCCCTTGAGAAGGTGCATACGGTTCATCCAGCTCTTTGAGTTTCTCACCAAATCTCTTCAAAATTTCTTCATATTCCTTTTCGAACTGTTGTTGTAGATACCTTTTGTACTTCTCGAATTTTTTATCACATAGGAACATGTGATACTGAAGTTTGTATAGACGATCTTGAAGTGGATCCGTTGAGTCACCTTCTGTAGGAATCCATCTGCCTAATGGAAGTGGGACATCAGGATTATTTTGATCGTTTTCTTTCTTGAATGTAGCCATATTTTTGGTATTTTTCATTTTTTGACATACTCAAAAAAGACTAAAGAAAATCAACCTAAGCTTAGACTCACAATAAAACACTTTCACAAACTCGATCAAATCTGACTTGAAAACAAAACTTTGCAACCAAAATAAATATTGACAAACTACAACTTGACAAATTACAAACCTAGGATTTTCTAACTTGCTCTGATACCAAATGATGCAATCAAAAAAATAGGGGACCCTATATTTTTTTATCACAAAAGAGAGGTGGACTTCTACCAACGAAAATGAGAAAATGAACGAATAAAAAACGAACCGAAGAGGCAGCCACAGGAGACGAGGAAGCCGCACGGAACCAAGGAGCACGTTCACGGGAAAGAGCCCAGGCACGGAAAACCAGCAGCCGGCCGGAATCCAAGGGGGCAAGGTTGGGAAAACGGCAGCCCAAGGGAGGAAGCCAAGAAGCCACCGCATGGGAAAAGACATTTCTTGGAATTCCAAAGGCCGATTTGGAATTCCAAGAGACAACAATAATTAAAACATAAAAAGCATAAAAATACATTTAATAAAAAGATAACTATGAGCTAAAATCATAGCTAATAATGAGCTAACCCTTAGTTCAATAAGTGAACTAAAGACCAGCTCATAAATGAGCTAAAATTTCAGCTCAATTTTGATTGAGCTAGTAGACTCAAGGGAAGCCAAAAATCTAATTATTTTTAACATGAGTTGACCCCCCTTTGTCTACATCAGACTCCCCTTCTTGCGAACTTAGCTCCTAATGAGTTGGTTGTTGATTCCCTTGAGGAGATGCATACTATTCATCCAGCTCTTTGAGTTTCTCACCAAATCCCTTCAAAATTTCTTCCTGTCCCTTTTCGAACTGTTATTGTAGATACCTTTTGTACTTCTCAAATTTTTGATCACATAAGGAACATGTGATACTGAAGTTTGTATAGACGATCTTGAAGTGGATCCGTTGAGTCACCTTCTGTAGGAATCCATCTGTCCAATGGAAGTGGGACATCAAGATTATTTTGCTCGCTTTCTTCCTTGAATGTAGCCATATTTTTTGTATTTTTCATTTTTTTGACTGACTCAAAAAAGACTCAAAATTTATAAGACTCACAATAAAACGCTTTGACAAACTCGACAAACTCTGACTTGACAACAAAACTTGATAACCAAAATAAATTTTGACAAACTACAACTTGACAAACCACAAACCGAGGAAATGATGCAATAAAAAAAATATGGGACCCTATATTTTTTATCACAGAAAGAAAGATGGACTTCTACCGACGAAAATGACTAAGGACGAGAAAAAGAAGAACAAACTCTTACATTTCAAATAAAACTAAAAAGAAGAAATAAAAAGACTACAAACGACGATCTAACAAACTCGAATCGAAAATCAAAGACACCCTAAAGTTACTTCACTTAGAGAAGTAGGATACAGGTGGAGTGACACTTGCGGAGAGACGAAAGAGGTTAGAAGCCCGAGAAGAAAGGTTGGAAAGAGCCCGCAGGATTTCCGGAGGGGATGAGAAAGAAGGGTGGAAAGAGCCCGCAGGATTTCCGAAGCAAACCCGCAGGTTATAGCTTTTCCAAAAATAATATTTCATTCACTTTTAAAACATTACAATACCCCCATATATATAGGTATGAAAGGGGAAGACCAAAAGACACATAACATAAATTATCACAATAACCTAAGCATTAAACCTAAATGCTTTTCACGAAAAAACAGCCCAAACCAAGGAACCGAAGTAGCCACCGCGGGAGATAAGGAGGCCGCAAGGAAACGAGGAGCCACAGCCACGGGAAAGAGCCCAGGCGCGGAAAACCAGCAGCCGGTCGGAGATCCAAGAGGCACGGCACGGAAAACGGCAGCCCAAGGGAGGAAGCCAAGGAGCCACCGCATGGGAAAAGACATTTCTTGGAATTCCAAAGGCCGGTTTGGAATTCCAAGAGACAACAATAATTAAAACATAAAAAGCATAAAAATACATTTAATAAAAAGATAACTATGAGCTAAAATCATAGCTAATAATGAGCTAACCCTTAGTTCAATAAGTGAACTAAAGACCAGCTCATAAATGAGCTAAAATTTCAGCTCAATTTTGATTGAGCTAGTAGACTCAAGGGAAGCCAAAAATCTAATTATTTTTTACATGAGTTGACCCCCCCTTTGTCTACATCAAAAAGCCAACAGGCAGCCATCCGAACAGCCAAACAGGCAGGGAACCGAACAACCAACCCAAGCAATCAAAAACCAGCCGGCTCTTCCCATTTTGATTGCATCAATTCTCCCCTGGTGGAAGAACCTCATCTCCTGATGAGTTCGATTCAGAATTTCTTTGTTTGACCGCTCCAATTCTTCAATCTTTGTCTCTTGTACATTTCATTTTGAATCTGATCTGTTGAATCTCCAATGGGAGAGAGACTGATGTCTGTTGGAATGCCAACTTCATGAGTACTGGGCAATGGTGTTTGACTTTCAACATTGGCAGGATCGTATTCATCTTGAAATTCTGTCGGCTCTTGACTTGAGATTCCCATAGAACGATGGTTTGGACTGCTCATTATTATAAATATTTTTTTTTTTCTAAAGACTTGCACACAACCTAAATTTTTGCAACCAAAGAAAAGACTTCCTAAATACATAAGAAAATACGCATAAACTAGGACACCTTCCAAAATGCCACAAAATACAACAATTAAATCAAAGCAACTTCACTTTTATAATAAAAGACACTTACAACATAATATGACATTACAAATTTATGACATAAAAACGACGCCTGTAGAAGCTCGCCATTTATCGAGAAGAAAGATACAGGTGGGGTGGTCACTTGCGGAGAGAAGAAAGAGACAAGAAGTCGAGACGAAGAGAGGACAAGCTCGCAAGCTTTCCTAGAAGAAGAGAAAGACAAAAGGCATAGCTCGCAAGCTATCCTAAAAAAAACCTTCAGGTTTCTTCCAAAAATTGGCACATAACACACCTTTTAAATTAGGGTCTCCCTATATTTTTACTTGCATCAAACATGTTCTAAGAGGTTCAACATTTAGTGTGATAGATTTTGGAGTGATGAACATTGCATCATTTCGATTGCAAGTTGTATGTCCCTCATTGCAAGTAACTCATCAATTGATATATCAGAAGTAATATCAATAAACTAAGCCAAAAAATCTAAAACCACAATAGGTACAAGAATTGTCAAAATTTTTTCAATAAGTTATAATAACAACAAAAGCCTTCAAAAAATTTATTTTTTCTACAATAGTTCTGCAACCTATTTTTACAAATAGTTGTGCCAACCCCAAACGAATCCAAAATCTAATCATCTATCGAACTCTAGATGGACAATATAGTCTATTGAAGCCTAAGGTTTAGAACAAGGAATTGAAGCTATGATGGATGGAGCGGCAATTGCAATCAATTGTCAAGTTGAAATTTTCTTATTACTGGTATGTATTTAGTTTCAGAACTATGTTTTTGGGTTTGTGTGGCAGTAGTTGGGAACATTTTTCAAGTGGCTTAAAAAGAAATAATTTATAATATTTTCTTTGTATTTGAAAACAGTAAAACACAAGTACTATCATGGTCATAACTTCTGCATTCCTGTCATAAAGCTGAGGTCACCTTAACATAATGTGAGCTATGTCCATGGGTAATAGTTCACATCATATTTGATCTCATAACTACTCATTACAATTGAACAAGATCACTCATGAGTTGCATTAAGATATATGGCATCATATGTACAAGATTGTTAATAAAACAAATCCTTTTTTATAGATATTTTCAATTAAAAACACTTATAAAAAAGATGAAAGTTATTGTTCAGGCCAGATGAACAATTAATTGAATTCAACTAAATAAATAGTTCCACCATACCTGATGTTCATTGCTCCTAACACAAGATAAAATGATATAATCCTTTTCTCTACCTTGGAAAGAGTCAACACTTGCAACCTGTATAGATAGACAACAGCATTATGGTTAAGAAATCTATTAAAAGCATAGCAGTAAGGAAATGCTACAAATCATACAGTGGCATGCAGTTTAACAGATAAGACATCAGCAAAAATTTAACCAACCTCAATTTCCTTATAAAGTTGTTGCCTGAGAGAACCATTTCTTGACATATAGTTTACAATATATGCTCTCTGACCTTCGTATGGTGTTATAACTCCAATCTTCAGTGTTTCATAGAAGATAATCACATGTTTAAGTGAACTTAAAATATACGCAACTCACTCAAGAAATCAGGACAAAATTTACCTGACTAGGCACCACACCACTTCTTAAAAATGTAGTTACAATTTTTTCCACATTTGCAGCTTCAGTTCTGTTTAGATATGATGTTCCACTTGCACTTATCTCCTCTTGCCCCATCTAGCAATGCAAGAAATTATGCTCCAAGACACCAAATTAATAGATACAACAGGACTCGAAATAATAACAGTTGCAATACAATAACTGAGAGGTAGAAAATGATACCTGGACGTAAAAGAACATAGGACGGTTAGGAGCAGGCCATGGAAAATCAATGCCTGATGATTGCCTTTCATTTATTGTTACTCCATTTTGAAGGGTACCCTCATAAAAGCTATTAGAGGGAAATTCTGAAAGAGAAGGATGCATTCGGTACTGGACCTAAAATTTCAAACATTACATGAACATGTGACAAGATGAAATGCTTTCCAGCACGAATGATAGCATTTGCAACATTTTTATCATGCACCTAATCTGAGAAAGATGATCAAACCCACAAATGTCACAAACATGATCATTGGCATACTTCGACATGTCAAAACAAAATTAAATAGATGATTGAATAGGAGAATATGAAACAATCTTTTTCTCAATAATTATTAAAACATCCTAAGTTATAAAATTCTTTGGTAACGCATACAATTGTTCTTAAAGCACGTTGTAAATTAGAGAAGCTTCCAGAATTCAGATAAAACACATTTCAACCACAATCTAGAATATAGTTGATGAGGACATCGCCCAGAGATTCAGACACGTGTGCCGGCGACGGAATCGTAAATCGACGGCTACGATTCAGCGTCTTTACTTTTGACGCATTATGTTTTATCTGTTGTTGTTTGCATGATGTTTTATTTAGTTTTTGTTGTTTTCCATTTTTACCCTTATGGGAAGTATTTTGTCATTGTAGCCCGGAGGGCATGTTTGTACTTTTCTTTTCATGTGAAGTGACCTATATAGTGGCCCATTGTGTTGTAAAAGGATTTGATGAATGTTTAATGAAAATTTCTTGTGTGATCACTAGAGGGAAGGGAGAGAGCTCGAGGTGAGCAAGTGCAAGGCCCACCAGTCGTCGGAAGAGTCCCCGGCTCGTGGTATTTTCTTCTTTCTATTCTCGCCGGATTTCTCCTCTTATCTTCCTCCACCTACCTGCCGGCCTCCTTCCCACCCCACCCCCCTTCTATTTCCCAAAACTGAACCCCCCATGCCAGCACTCCTTGGACGCCCACCCGCCGGCCAGCAACCACGCCACCAGCCTCCCCTCCACCCCGCCTCCCCTCCGGTCCCCACACCAACCCGCCAGCCAACCTGCTCCAATAATTTCAAATTCACTTTCAATTGCATTAAGTTCCTTTTCTAATTCACATCCTAAGCAATTAAGAAAGTTTCTTTTTTTTTAAATCCATTAACTGATTGGATTCCAACGTTCCTCAAGTTTTTCAATCATTTAGGGAGAGTGCTTCATCTCACAGTCTCTTCGTTTGATTAAGAGAGACAAACGTCTAGTGCTTCTCATTCAGAGGAGTCAAATAAGAACCCCATGGTTTTTGCATTCGATCAAGAGAGACGAACGTCTTGTAAACCCCTCTCACATGCGTGCGACTAAACAGAACGGGGCGTGCGGCCAGAAGATTCTGCACGTGCCTAGGATCTGATTGAGCGGGATTGCGCTCAATGTTGTGTGCGATCAAGGCCGAGCCTGTTCTTGCATTCTGCTTCATACTCGTGTATGTCCAAAGCAAGTGAGAAGGCTTCCCCTTTCGATCTTCTGCATGCAGCTAAATAAGGCACACAAGACCCCTCTCGCGTGCCTACCTAGGGTCGAACTTAGTGAAAAAGATGATCAAGAGAGGGAGCGAGCAGGAAGTGCATATATGTGTGCCTAAGAAGGAACGATCAACCCTCGTGTGTGTGCTGGAGTCGAACCGAGCAAGAAACAAGCAGTTGAAGAGATGTTGTACATTCCATCAAATCATCCACTCAAAGAACCCTCCTTGCCCCAAATACCGACCGCTTATGCATGTTCTTGATCCGCTACTCTCAGATCTGGGATATTACAAGAAGGTCGAAGCCTCTTTCTGAATAGCAAAAGAAGTCAACCTCTTTCAAGATCTACACCACTGGGATCAAACCCTCAAATCGAACGAACGCCACTTCATAACCCACGTTCTCGCCTTCTTCATTGTCATTGACGGAATCGTCATTGAGAAACATGCCAGTCGGATTTGGACAGAAGTCAATTTGAAGGATTCGAAGCTTTTTGATGGAACGGTCCTGATAAATGGCATTACCTAAACGATGCACGTAGTGGGGAAGAAAATGGCTTTCTTGGTGGTAAAGCAGTTCACTGTTATGGTCAAGTGCATGCTTACAGTGACTGAGGAGTTGATCTGCACGTAGATAGTGAAGTACACTACTTCCCTAATTAGGGAGTCGAACATGGATATCGAGGGTGAGGCTACAGAGAGATTAAGGCTTCGTTTGGGACGGCTGCAGTTGTCGTTAAAGCAGGTTGTGAAGTTGTTGTCCAGAAAGCTACTTCATAAAGTTGTTGTACAAAAATCAATAAAATTTGTTTGGGTAGTATAACTGTCAAGCCGCTATGTTGCTGCTGTGTAACAATAAATTACCTTGATACCCTTTTTTGCAATTTATTATAGAAATTCATTACTTTCTGGTTTTGTTAGTGTTTGCTGAATAAGTGGTACGTGATTTTTCTTTATCGGCCAAAAGCAAAGCAAATTGTTAATGGCTCTGGTTTCTGGTAATTGAAAAGGTACAACTGCTTGAAAGAAGCTTTGAAACAGAGAACAAGCTGGAGCCGGAGAGGAAGAGTGACATGGCGAAGAAGCTGGGCCTGCAGCCCCGGCAGGTGGCGGTATGGTTCCAGAACCGCCGGGCACGATGGAAGACAAAGCAGCTCGAGCGCGACTTTGATCGGCTCAAATCCTCCTACGACGCTCTGCTCGCTGACCACGATTCCATTCTCAAAGACAACGACCGCCTCTGCTCGCAGGTACGGTCCCTTTCCCTAACCGGTGACTTCACTGCTGCACCTCCGTTTTTCGAAGCAGTAGGTGTGAAGGGGAAGGTGGTTGGAGATGGGAATGTCGGGTAGTCTTGACCGGAAAAATTCTGCCCTTCGTTCACCGTTCTCTCCAGCGCCGAACTTCACGAGGAAGAAGAAGAAGTTACGGTGCATTTGCGTCTTTCTCTTACCCTCAAACAGCGGAAAGCAGCGAAAAGCAGGAGTATACTTCAAGACCGAAAAAGTAGCAGCAGGACGCAAAAAGTTTGAGAACGGAGCACGACCGCGTGTCTCCAAACCCCATCTCGGTTGTGTTTCCTACCGTACAGCAGCAAAAACGGCGTCCCAAACGCACCCTAAGCATTTTATCCTACCCTAAAGGGGCAGGCGCTTGCTGGTTCTCCAGGTTCCCACCAGCAGCCTTCATTGCCGAAACTTTGAGGAATACATGTTCCCACCACCAGCCTTCATTACCGGAATTATTAGGAATCCATATTCCCACTACTGACCTTCATTGCTGGAATTTTGAGGAATATTGATCTTTCCACCGGCCTTCATTACCATAATTTTGAGGAATACAATGTTCTCACTACCGGCCTTCTTTGTAAAAATTTAGAGGAATACTGGTTCCGACGAATGGCCTTCAGTGTTCGAATTCTAAGGACCTTCATGCATCCAAGACCAAGGAAAGATCGAGCGGAAGGGCTCCTCTTGCGTGTGATGTCTAGATTCGACCAAACAGAAGTGAGTACAGGATCTCCTCCTGTGTGCATTTGGAAAGAGCCGAGAATTCCCTCTCATGCGGGGGCGAGGACAAGCAAGAGTACAAGACCTGTATGATCAAACAAGAGGGATCAGAGGCTTTGCCTGCACCTGTAAGGGTTTATCAAACAGGAGTCTGTCCAGGTGGAGTCGAATGACCTGGGAAGGAGGAGATCGATGTGTTGAGTCGCTTGAGACGTATGTTTCTTCTCCTATCCTTGAAGCTTGTCGCAACCCTAAAATTATATTTTTTCCTTTTTTAGTTGTTCCTTCCCTGTCGGCCTTCTCTTGAGAACCAAGACAGATGAATTTGAATGATAATTAATCCACTTTTCCAGTTGTCCCACCACTAGCCTTTGTTTCCATTTCCAGTATCTTGAGGGCTACTGTTCAACACAGCCTTCGTCTCTATTATTTGCCGCTGTTATAATGTTTGAAGCTAATTTCTCCCAAAGTTTTAACCAAATGGAGGACTCTATGGTGCACCAAGGGACTTGATAATAACTCTACTTTTCTGCGACTAATTACCAAGCTGGGAATGACAGATTTGTATTCCCCAGCTTCAAGGGATGTGTTAAAATCTCATCCGTCCCTTAACACTTGATCCCACGGCCAGGATGGGAATCTATGGGAGGCTCACCTAGATCATGTCGATCTCTGTTAAATCCCAAGTCGTCCCTTAACACTTGCTCCCACGGCCAAGATGGGAATCCATGGGAGGCTCACTCGGATCACGTCGATGTCCTATATTTGGGTGGTTGATTTAGGAATTATTATATTAAGGCAATTATGCATGATTATGTAGTTATTTGTTTCTTTAATAAGACATTTTGTATATATCTAAAAATAGGCATAATTTTGTATAATAAAATGAAGCCTTTTTCCTCTATAATTCTCTGAATTTAACCTATATCATAAACCATCAACAAATAATTAAAATTAAAATTGAAAATCTAAACACCAAAAGCAAACTAATTAAAACAAGTAAAAGAAAAGTCGGTTAAAAAGACTTAAAAAATAGTTAAAATGAAAAAAAAACATTAAAGAAAACTCATAAAACAAATTAAGAAAAATAAAAACAAAATCTATTAAAAAATTTTAAAAAACATTTAAAAGAAAAGTAAAATAAAAGGAAAAGAAAAATCAATTTAAAATGAAAAAAAAAACAGCAATCTACAACTCTTGGCGTCAAAGTTGAAGCCAACTTGCAAACGCTCACTCCTAGCAACATTCAATCACCATCTAGCATGCAACGCCCTCAACTCCCACTCATAGACACTCGCTAGCCCTTGGCTCATGCTAACATATAACTACCAGCTAGCATGCGACTACTGCCACTCGCTCTTATCTTGAATCATAGCCCTTTATCTACAAATTAATCTAAACTCTAAACCTAAAATTTTAGCTCTCTTATATGTAACTTAAATGTGTATTATTTTTTAAGAAACTATTAATTTTAGGCATTTTTCATACATCTTCAATCACATAATCTTGTGGAACAAGCCTCACTCAAGATAAAATTATAAACTTTGAGATGTCCATTGAACCTCATGATAAGGTGTGCTTTTACACCTTTTTAAACAATGCTAGCAAT